TTCATTTGTTTTGTTTTTTTTTAATTCCAAGTATAAGTGAAACCATACAGTATTTATCTTTCTCTGTCCCACTTATTTCACTTAGCATAGTACCCTCTAGGTCCATCCATGCTCTTGAAAATAGCAATACTTCATTCTTTTTTACTGCTACATAATAATCCACTATATATACACCAATCTTTATCCATTCATCAGCTTCCATATCTTGGCTATTGTAAATAATGCTGCAGTGAACATAGGGGTGCATATATCTTTTCGAATTAGTGTTTTTGTTTTCTTTAGATAAATACCCAGAAGTGGAATTGCTGGGTCATATGGTGACCTGTCTGGCAAAAACAGTGTGATTTTTGAAAAGATTTATTAATGTGTCTATTATGAATAACTTAAGATCATATGATTAAAGCACCAGCAAATAAAAATAGTTGCTAAGGGTAGTTTCTAGCAACAAAAATGTAAGTTACGAAATCTGCACATACCTGGAGAAATTCAAGCATATTTTTCTTTATTCGTGGCTTCCCATGTTCTTGATTAGGTCAGGACATAAAATTGAAAGCAACTGAAGGTACAACAGTAGAGCTGTGCACAACATTTAATTAGTTTTCTTCTTGTTATATACATGTACACATTTATGAGTATGTAAGAAGAAAGAATGTTAAGCTTCCATATATTACCTGTTAGATTATAAGCATGATAGAGTCATGTATACTTTCCTTCTAGTCCTTTAGCTCCTCATTGCTCTTAGTGTAGCAGACCCTTAATACATGACATTGCCTAATTATTCAGCCCTGATGCTGATTGAGTAGAAAGTGCTAATTGAAGAATCTTCTATGGCATAGAGTCAAGGGGAAATAATGCTATTTTTAAAATTATTTTATACCTTAATCCCAGCCTCTCTGGGTAAAAACCATGGATTTCTATTATGAAATTTTGTATAATTTTCTCCTATTTATTTCCATTGATACCATGTGTTAGCTATACCTTTCATCAATGCAAATATATAAATATTTGGGAAAAAATAAATTTTGGTTTGCTTTCGACTTACCTTTTTTTCATGAGGGTTTTGGTATTGCATCTGAAGTCCAAATGAACATCTAGTTTAAGCCTATGTTAATGCTTCTACTTGGGATGTCAGGCTGTAGAGCTCTAATTAAATTGATGAAAGACAACAAAACAAAATTAAGGAGCTTGTGACGAGTGGGGATTAATCCTATCCGTGGACTTCTTTGTTAGTGGTTGAATTTTGGAAGTGACCTTCTTGTACTGTCACCTCACAAACACCCTGACTCTGGAGAGATTAAATGCATGTATGCCCATGGTCCCTCGGCTGATTAGTGGCTTAACTGTAAAATTAGGAGCGAGTAGCATTTTGATGTTTTCAGATATTTGTATAAGTCATACATCGGAGTTACAGTTGATTTTATGTATGACTTGTGAACACAATCTCTGTTCTGCCGTGCGGGCGTGCACACACAGTCTTGCGTTTGGCTTGAACGTGGTCAATCATTCCAGAGGTGACCAATCACTGCAATGAGTTAACAACGTGGCTGCTCCTCTTCGTTTCACAGATTCCTGGAGAAACCACTCTTGATGCTCCATTCAGGGCATTTTGTGACCCACCTTGTTTTCTTTTTCTTTTCTGACTTTAATTCAGAAATCCCATGGGATGAGGAACCCATTTTGAGAAACATGTCATGGAAACTTGAAATGTAGGAAGCTAAGCAATTAGTGTCAAATTTTCCCTTGGGGGAAAAAGTAAGAAAAGTTAATATATACTACAGAGATAACTCAATTAGATTCTCTAATAATGGTACATTGTATTTATAAATGATAATTTTTGACAAAGCAGCAATCTTCTATGGGAGGGCTTTATGCTCTCTTTGAGTCTTTAATAGCATAAGGCACTGGCTTCCATTCAGACTCGGAGCTGAAACAAATCATCATGACCTTTTTTCTATTCTTGGGTCAGATGTATTCTAAAAGCTTTTAAATTTATAAAGTATCTTTGGAAATTTACAGGAATGGAAAATTTACTTAATGTAATAATACGTTTAGTAGGAAAACCAAATCAAACTCATATGTAATCTCAAGGTGTTTTTGTAGATATCATATACCTCGTCTTTTCAGAGGCTCGTTGGTTTCTATTTCAGTGATGTGAATTTAATTGGCTTTTAGTATAGGTTTAAAATTTTTAAAAACATGTGATTACCCATCATGTGCTCAGCAGTGCACTAGGTATAATCACACAGGCCATGTTCATGTAACCCTTACATACATCCTGTGAGAAATTATTGTCCCAATTTTTCAAATAAAGAGTCTCATAAAAACTGTGACTTGTAGATGGTATTACAGGGATTATAAATCAGGTTATTTTACCCTCAAATCTATTACACTTTTCAGTAAAATTAATTTATAAAGAGAGAAAATCTTTAAAACACTACCTTTATACATTTCATTGACTGTTGGAAGATCAACAGTCTGATTCGTCAAAGGAAGATTCTGGTGCTGACTCATTAAAGGAAGATGATACAGTGTGTTGGGTACCAAGGTCTTGTGAGTCAGGCCAACACTGGGATGAACCCTGGCTCCTCAGCAGTAGAAAAATGTCATGACTTTGTGTAAAGTTGTTTGTGTTTTAACTTCCAAGCCTCAGTTTCGTTATGTACCAAACAATGGTAATATAACGTATTTTATAGTGTTGTAACAGCACTGAGTACAATACTGAATTTAGCAGAGTTCCCAGCAGATAGTACAGTTCCTTTTTCTTTTTTAAATTTTTTCATTAAATTTATTGGGGTAACATTGGTTAATAAAATTACATAAATTTCAAGTGCACAACTTTATAATTCAATATCTGTGTACTCTATTGCATGCCCACAACCCAAAGTCATGTTTCCTTTTGTTACCATATATTTGACCCCCTTGACCCACTTTGCCTTCCCTTTATGCCCTTCCTCTCTAGTACGCACCATTCTGTTTTCTGTATCTATGAGTTTGCTTTTGTTGTTCGTTTGTTACTTTTAGTCTTATATCCCACATATGAGTGAAATCATAGGGTTTTTGTCCTTTTCTGTCTGACTTATTTTGCTTAACATAATATCCTCAAGATCAATCCATGTTGTTACAAATGGCAATATTTAATCTTTTTATGACTGAGTAGTATTCCATTGTATATATGTACCATATCTTCTTTACACAATCATTCATTGATGGACACTTACATTGTTTCCATGTCTTGGCTATTGTAAATAATGCTGCAGTGAACAGGGGTACAGATTCTGGTAGCTATGATTAGTAACATTATAATATGCAAATTGTTTAAAGGCAGATGTTAATTATTGTGTTCAGGGACATACGAAGACTTACTTATTAATAAAATTGTGTAGATTTACTGAAGATTTTTAGTGATAAAGAGCCCTTATATAGTATTTAGAACTTTATGTGATGCTTTTTAAGGTATTTTAAAATATGGTAGCATATTAGAATATTTTCAGATTGTATTTATAATTTAGTTACTGTTGCTAATGAATTGGGAATAGTTCTATGAATAAGTTCTAGACAGGTGAGGAGTTCCTCCTTTTAAAAATAAATAAATAAATAAATAAATAAATAAATAAATAAATAAATACGGGCCGGCCAAGTGGCGCGTTGGTTAAGAGCTGGCTTGGGACACCAGAGGGCCCCGGTTCGGATCCCACATATGAGGGCCAGTGACACTGCCCTCTACAGCTAAGATGCTGAACAACATCTCAACCTGGAGCTGGGCTGCCATGAGTCACCGGCGACGGTGTAGGCTACAGCCCCTGTGGCAGTGGGTTGCCATGGGCTACCGTGTGTAGCCAGCAGTCACCGTGAGCAGCCATCTAGAAGCCGGCGACTGATGTGCCTCTCCTGGGGAAGAGCACAATGATGGTGCCAACTTGGGCCAGTGAAGCAACATCCTCCACAACGAGACTGAAGAACAAAAGGACAGCAACTTGTCTGTTCCCCTTCCCTCAATTCCCCAATAAAAATCTTAAAAAAAAAACACACAAAAAAGCATGTAAATATAATTATATGTAATCTGTGAGTCATTGAAAAAAAGTTATACAACCATTATACAATAGTTATACAGCCATTTTGATAGGCCCTAAGAAGAGTTTCTCCCTTTGAAAACCATTTACTCTCTGCTACAGTTATTGTCTAGCATAGTAGATCAGAACTTTATTAATAAGCCAGGAGAAAATAATTTGGCTTTGATTATATGTAAGTAAATTAACTTTGTTTAAAATAGTAAAAGAAAGAAATATGCAATTAATTGGTGACAGAGGTTTGACCTTTAAAAACATTCCTGGTACAAGGAGTCTAGATGAGGAATATATAGGATCAGTCTTCAGTTACGTAGGTACACACACATCTGTATCCAGTAGAGATTAATTATATTAAAATAAGCTGAAGTTTTTCCAAAATCTAGACATAACCATAGAGTTTTATTTTTTATTTCCTGTAGATATTTAGAAGTACTTCTCTGTATAGACTTGGTCAAGATAAAGCAAAGTGTTGAAAGTGATAACCTTGGGTATTTGTCTTGGATGTTTGTGATATACTCTGAGGCTGACAAAGTACAGAGAACCTTGTACAAAAATATAAATTTTAAATATAGAGTCTTTGCAGATTTAATCTGTCATGAGAATGAAATAGATAAATGTAAGAACGGTTCATCCTCTTAGGAATAGCTAAATTTCTGTTGCCGGAAACTAACCTTTGAAAATGATGTGTGTCTTAAACAGGATTAAATGGATCCAAAAAAAATCTTTTGTAAACACAAAAGGGTGGTGTGGATATGTGGGTATCTGTGTGTTCTAGCTTATTCATACCATTGTCACCAGTTTAATTAATCATGATCTTTTTAACTAAGCAGTGAGTGTTAATATTTTAACCTGTAAGTATTGAATATGAGATCTATTTTGTAACAAAAACATCTCAAATTCAAATTATAATCTCCTTTTCATTTCTTTTCTCAGATGATGAAACACGCTTGGAATAATTACAAACGTTATGCCTGGGGACTAAATGAACTGAAACCCATTTCAAAAGAAGGCCATTCAAGCAGTTTGTTTGGTGAGTGGAATATGCTTTTTGTCACTTTTCACAATAGAAGAGACAGTAACTTCTCTCTAATTGACTGAACTTGTGGGTGGTGGAGAAGTTTGTGTGACTCTGCAGGCCATGTTGCTAGGAAACTTATCCACCTGCAAGGACGGTGCGTAGTGTCCTTCAGACAGAGCACTGGCAGCATATTAGATCCACTGCGTACCTTGGAAACATACTGATACCTGGCACACACTTCCAAAGATTCTCATTTAATGGATATGGGTGCGGCATCGTGATTTCTGTTGGGTTGTCGGAAAAGTCATGACGTATTTTGTCTATGTTTTTCAAAGGTCATTTATTATATATAAAGAACATATATATATAAAGAACAAAGATCAATCAGTATATTGCCTGTTTTGTTCGATAACCTTTTGCCATCTTTCAGTTAGCTTCATAATTCCTTGTTCATAGAATGACCTGTCATTATTTGCAAAAAACTGAACAAGGTGCTGATTTACAGCCTCATCTGAATTGCACATTATACCACACAAGGAGTTTTGAAGAGAGCGAGACAAGTGGAAGTCTGATGGCGCAAGGTCAGGCGAGTATGGTGGGTATGGCAACACATCCCGTCCAAACTCCAATAATTTTTGAC